TGATGGATAGAAGAAACCTAATGAGATCTTAGTAGAGAGAGTTGTAGGTGTAGCAGGTGGAAGCAATGGAGACTAGACAAATGAGGAGGGAGGGAAGGAGAGTGGCATTCAAGAGCCTACTTCGGCCCAGGTAACCAGCAAGGGTTATAGTTCCATCTGCGATCACTCGAGCAATGGTCCCGGCTTCTGTCGATAGCAATCCACCATTGTAGGTACCACGGGAGAGCCGGGATGACATGACTCGGGAGAGAAGCGAGAGGTTCACACCTGTGACAGATATGATCAGAACCAAAATTTGTGTCATTCTCAGATGAATGGAAGAATGAAACTCAACCTTCAATTTCATAACAATAAAGCGTTTATGTGTCGTTTTTCACTACTATGGAAGTATAAATCCTAAACCGAAAAGATATGATAAAATAAGATGTATGAGTTTCCAGATGCCCATTTTTTTCTCCTATTGGGTGCCAATCCCTTATGTGTTCCAATTTTTGGTGGTCTTCAAGTAAAGAACTACCTTACTAGCTTTTTTAGAGGGAAAAAAACACATACATGTTTAAGTAAGTATTTATTCTGACAACTTTTATAGCCCAATCAAATACCATTTAAAGTTGAAAAAATACTTTGAATTATTTAGTTCTTTTAGAAATTGAGAACTTTTAGTAAATGCCTCACCTTCAAGCACTTCTGCCGACACAAACATGATGAGTCCAGAGCACACATATTGAAGCACGGAGTATGGGATGAATACATTGAAGCTCAAGAGGATGCCTATGAAGACAATAATTTCAGATACCAATAATATTTGCCTGCAAGGAAGATGTTGAAATAAAATACGTGAGAGAAGTTATAACAGAGATGCGACTTGGTACATCCGGTGAAGAACAATTTTAATTAACAAAACAAGTTCCCATAATCCCTTTGAAGTATTACCTGTCTTCAAACATGTTGCTGATGTAACTACCAACTAAGATATTTACTGGGAGAACCGTTAGGCCAAGGCATGCCAGAAAAGTTGCCACAGAACTCGTGGACCAACCAAAGTAGTATGTGGTAACAACACTAGATTCCGAAAGTAGAATTTCCATTGCATATTTGAGCATGAAATATATCAACAGTTGAACCTGGTGACGTAAAATGTTCAGTTAAAATATGATGACATGCAAACTCAAGAAAAAGTTACCTAGAAAAAAGTAAAAAGTGCAAATGCAATCCCAGAACAACAGTAGCTAGATTGTTATCTGTACTCAAGATGTGAACCCCTTTGTTCGGGTTGTACAATCCTAAGGGAATTACTAATAGTTTCAATTTCGGTTTAAGCCATACCTACTATGAATGGGTTGTGGCAATTTGTTTGAGAGCATTTTAAAGTAACCAACATTATTCAGCTGATATTCAAATTTCATGTCCAGGAACCAAAATTATAGCGTCAGCAAAAGTAAGCATCCACAAACTCAAAATCTCATTGAAAACCATTGTTAGTATGGGAAACATGGGCAATTTAGTCACCCATTTGCAGTACTTGAGTAAGGCTAAAATTCACCGTGATGACATGAAATATATCCAAGTCAATATGATGATAATGAATGATGTGAAAGCCCAACTACTTTATAGACTATAGCAGATACCTTAACAGAGGGAGTGAGTAATCTATAAGCTGAGCCAATAGAAGTCACTGGTAGGCGAGATTCCTCCGGAGCTTCTTCACTGTCATCAACTTCTGGGTCACCATCTTCATCTGATGGCTTCTCTAGTGAAGTAATAAGCAATGGTTGCTGAAGACCTTTTTCAAGTCTGTCATTTTGAACTGCTCATTGCCATTGAAAAGACATAAAATTAGCAAGAGGTCAATTAGCAAATTTTGATAATATATGAAATAATTAATTCAAATAGATACTTTCTATTCTCTGAAAGAAATACGCAATTAAATGTCCTAGTGACATCTCTAAGTTCCAAAAATATTCAAGCAACGGAAGTTCCACTTCCAACTGAAACAGATAAAATTCATTGTTGGTGTACATAATAACAAACATGCAATTGACATGACCAAATTGGAGCGCCCACCGGAATAATAGAATGATAAATCAAAATGTAATGACACGCACGTGAAGATTTATCAGATTGAACAATGACCATATGAAAATACCTTGATTTGATTCCTGCGGTGTATTCTCTTCAGTTTCCCGCAAAGGTTCACGAAATGAGATACACAACCATACTAGATATATTAGCCAAGCCACAGCCATAACCCAACCAGGCAAAGTATTTTGATTAAAAGTGAGCTTGTAAATCTTAAAATTTGTTTGAAGTAATCCGGCCAGAGCTGGACCACAAGCCATTCCTAAAGCACTGGCACTAACAAAGCCCGCTGATGCTTGCATCCGAACTTTTAGCGGCACACAGTCACTGATATAACGCCTATTAACAGCCCGAGCAGAACCCAACCTGCATCAGAAAAGTATAGTTCTTTTAAACTTCAAAAGTGTGTATTAACATTTCCCAACTCACTGCTTTTTTTCTCCACTAAAGACAACAGATAGAGTTCAAAATTGTTTTATATTATATATATATTTAAAAGAAAAAGGAAAAAAAGAAAGACTCCTGGGAATATTTGTGCCACAGAATATAACAACATAGAATCAACAAGCTACCGGAATGTAACAATTTGATACTCATATTCAACATCACTTATGATTTCAATTCTTTTCATACATTTAATTTCAAATAGTCACATGTGGTCAACTTTCCAACCATTAATTATAGAATATGACGAACATTGTTACGGAGTAACTCTTAGGATAGATCCTTAGTGCTAAGGATGTTTTGGAGATATTCTCTCCAAGATCCTACAGGTTCAAGGCTTCAAGTGGAAAGCTCAATAAACTAAAACCATTATCTTCCCAAGCCAGCCTCGGGGTGGGCGGAGTCTCTCAAGAATTTAGTGGGAGGGTCATGAGCATAATGCAAGAGTGGGCCTTCCAATACTTCGGTCATAAAAAATACTAATAATATCTTCTGCACAAATAAGTGGAATACTATAGACCCCGAATCACTAAAATGTATGAACGTAGGCATGTAAGGAAGAAAGGGTGTTGGCATTATGTAATAAAGTGGGGCCCATGGGGAATTTTGTTAGTTATGTGTGGACTGTGGGGGATAGTTGTTTTGGGAAAGGCAATCATTTTTTGGTATTCTGTTTTTGGTTTCTCTGTTGAGAACTGGGAGAGAAGGGGAACTCTCTAATCTCCCTTGCCCTTGGCTTGTATGTTGTTAAATGAAAGTGAGGCTGATGCTTATCAAATACTTCCACTCGAGAAAGACACTTTCTCACTTCATGTAGGCTATAACAAAAAATTTTAAATTTGTAGGCGGCATATACCCTTAAACTCGAACTGGAATCTGGATCCTAATTTTTTAAGGTAGTTAAGTTGACACAGCAAGTTTTCATGACTAGGCCAAATCCTCCATGGTTAAATAACGAGAAAGCTCCAAAATGAGAGAAATATCTCTAATTCTTCTAATTTTTTAAGTTCGAAAGCTCATAAACATAGTCCAAGGCATTGATCTTTATAGCCACGACAAGAAAACGGAAATAACTAAAAATTTTAAAGCACTAATTATATTCAGTGTAAAAAAGGATAAAAGAGATTACCTACCCACAGCAAAGACGTCCAATTAAAAGAACCCACAGTGATTGAAGATCATAAGCAAGAGCATATAAGAGGTTCCCGAGAAAGAGAGCAATGCTGCTAAATATTAGAGGTCTGAAGTAAGATCTATTTGACCATGCACTAAAGTAAACCGATGAGAACACTTGTGCAACTGCCATTGCTCCAATTACAATACCACATACGGTTGCTGCAGCTCCAAGGCTCATGGAGTAGTCATCGGCTGTTGGGACCACAATATATGTATTGACCATGTATAGAAATGTATTTGCTAAGTTCAAGAAAAGTGACATGAAGTGGTAGTTGCTATCATCAACTTGTTCCTCGATGGGAGCAGGTAACTCTTCTTCTCGCATAATGAGGGCATGTTGTGCCAAAAAGTTTAGGAAGTTTGTTGAGTTACTTAACCTGTCCACAGCAGCTTTAATTGAATCGATTATAGGATCCTGCATGTGGGAATATGAATAAATAACATAGCTGAAGCAACCTTTTGATTATCTAGATTTATTAGGAAAGGCAGTGGGAAGCATTGACAGCTAAAGCAAGCAGCAACAACAAAATTAGTAAATTCCCAACCTGGAGAGGGAGAACAGGCTGATCGTATATTGATAGATAGCTTCTTCCTTGACGGTCCTGGAGTTCATGCAAGTTACGTGATATGGCTCCAACAACAGCCCCTATTCCCTGCAAGTTCGTTTTTAGCTTGTGAAATACCATTCAAGTAATGACAATTTGGCTACTAGTTATTCTATGTGGAATCACTACACTCATACTAAAAGTCAGACATACAACATAAAATTTATAACAATATTGAAAATTCCTAGACATATCGTATCTAAAGTCCCTTAAAGACTCATTCATGAGACAAGAAGAGAAAATTCTGCATCAGACATTGACATATTACCACATGTTTGAAAACTTGCTGCAGCTGAGAGTAAGGATGGTTGGCACGTGTCTTGACATAATAATCAGTAAATCTATAGCGAAACCGCTTGTCAAACTTTTTCAAAATTTTACGCAGACCAATTGCATTTATTTCAACAAAATATAGAAGTTTTAAAAGATCTTGGCCGGCTGTTCTGTAAGCTTCCCGCAATTCAGTTATATGGGATATTTCAGGTTCTTGCTGAAGAGCATCAAGCTGTTCATCAAGTTTGGCTATACGGCTTGCAAGAAGCCCTTGTTGCTCCAACAGAAAAAGTACAATCTTCTCAATCTGATTTGTCAAAAAATGCATTTCAAATTTGTTAGTGAATGGGTGCATAACTTAGATTTACACAATCTCATAATATAGAAAATATTCAGTTTCAAAGCAACAAAGAGATAATAAAGTGACAAATAAGTGTTTCAGCCAGAAAAAAACACCAAACCTAGATTTATGAGCCTGGTCTCAAGCATTCCATCACATTTATTAGAAGGAAAAGGATTGTGCATGGATGAATACGTACAGTTTATTGCACTTTGCTTCCTACAAAGTTCGTCTACTTATGTACACGCGCATGTGTGTATTAAAATTGATGCCATGATATACCACATTCAGTTCTTTTGAGCTTACAGAGTAATCAAATAAAATGTAGAATTCATAATGCTTATCTCATAAATAAGAGATCCAAGGTTTAAGATAAGGGATCATAATTTACTAAGCTATACCGGCACATAAGCAAGACAATAAGTTACTTTCAGTTGACAAAACAATGAGAGAGATTATTTAATTGCATACACCATCATTTATCAAAGCTGTAATTTATTCTTCTCAAGAAAAGGGAGGTGCAATATACACCTGGTTGTCCAGCATTCTTGAAAAATCCTTGAGAACATGCCGACGATCTTGTGTTCCAACTTCCATTTGCTGAGCATATTGTTTTACCTTTTTCTTCATAAGCTTATAGTTGATGTAATATCTGCACAAAAACAAAATTTTGATATAGAAATATAGCAGCAATAGCATAATTTCTATTTTTGCCCTTCGATTAAAAGAATGGTTGCTAGCACGTGCTGCCAAACAAGATAACTTGAATGATACAAAACAGATACTGATGTATCACACTTACCCTTGCCATTCTTCAATTTGTCTTTCCTTTAACTTCTTTCCAAAGGCAACCATCTTTCACTATGTAAAAGTCTGGTATTTAGAACCAGGCCGAGAGTATACAAAGATACAGTCTGCAAGGAGAACAAGAACTTATTGATACCATCACATGGTGAAATGCCTATTTTACACTAGTATTAATTTCTTGAACTCTTCTCAATACTTCATTAACATAAAGTGAACCAGATAGTTTAATATTCTATGCGACAACATTGAATATATAGAACATACATGTCAATATAGTTTAATTCACTCACAGAAATTATATACAGTTTCAAAAAAATGGACATTTTTTATAGATTCATGAGGCTAACTAGTCCATTCTAAAGATATATCAATACTCTTCATCTTATAATTATAGAAATAGAAAATTTTATTATTGAGTAGCAGGAGTAGTTGAAATGCATAACAGTGAATACCTCTATTTACTATTCTCTGGTTCATATTCATAGATAGAGCTCCTAAAGAATTTCAGTTCATTTCGATTAATAGTACGGAAGAGTAATCCAATCGACATTCTGCCTAAGGAGTGATCTGATAATTCCACACCAGTTTAAGAAAATGGAATTTAGTGAATAAGATTAAACAAAAAAAGGCATTTTTCATCCTAAAAACTAGGATGAGACAGACTCCTCAGTGGTCATTTTATCTTCTTTAAACAAACCTTTTCGCCTTTTCAGCTTCTACTTCAATATAATTTTGAGAAATAAGCCTTTGCCAAAATTAAAATAAAGGATTTACAAATTACTTATTTCTATAGATAGCAGTGTCCTGTGTCCCACAATTTCAAGCTTAGATCGATATCTTGACAAACGACCTTACACGACAGGCACCACA